TCACTACTGTATGAGCGCCTATTCCCGCCACCCTTGCAATAACCTTGCCAGTTGGCCTACGCCCGACCAATCAGAGACACACATGAAGCGGGGCGACTGAGCGTTACAGAAGTGCCGTCTTCCTTCTAAACCATAGAGCCGGCGGAAGGCTTTAGAAGAAAAGCTACTCCTAATAAGCAGACTAGTAGAAATAGCTAGAATCAGACCTTGCAAAGTTTGTCGAAATAAAATCTAGTGACTGTGTTTGTGCTTTCAGGGATGGAGCACCACTGATCCGTATTAGTCAACCATCATGCGAAGAGCTAGCGCCAGATGCTCAAAGAGCCGTTGATGCCATTGAATTCATCACTGAGAATATGAAAGACGATGAAACAACGAAACAGGTCCGTGAAGTCTGTCCGACATCGATGAGCTTTTCGAAAGCAATCATCTTAGAAACCAGCATTTTCTTCTCAAAAATAGCTCAAAAATTTCTCCAAAAAAATTTTAAAGCAGTTTCTAACGTTTGCTATAGAAATTAATTCGACATTTAGTATCGAGACGACTGGAAATTCGTGGCAATGGTAGTGGATCGCGTGCTGTTATATGGTTTCTTTGGAATCACACTTGGTGGAACAATAGGTGAACTACTATCGAAAATTAGATTTGTTTAGGTAAAACATTTTTTATTTTAGGTATTCTCTTCTCAGCTCCAACAGTCTTTGAACGAGTGGACGAGCACAAGCATTTGCAAAAGTTGATTCAACTCTACAAGCAGGGTCTTCCTTCTAATGATACGTTTATTATGCCCCCTTATTGACACGTAATCGTAATCGATTTGAATCTACTTCTTTATGCGAAGAAGCCATATATTTCTCAATGCGCATACGGTTGTAATTTCCCATTGACTTTGTCTACAAAACAATATTTGTTAATGTATCAGTGCATTACAGTGGCAGTGCTCAATGCTTATAATGCGAACGTTTACATAAAGTCATTTAGACTTGATATTTTTCAACAAACTCGTTGTATCGCATATGGGCTTGCCTTAGGTTTTACATTGGGGGCTTAATAAACATCAAACTTGTTCAATTTATCATTATTCTAAGTTTTAAACATGCAAAGCTCCGTTTTATCCAAGTACATGGCGAGGATGTGCCTTTGAACCATAAGAGAAGGGACAACTTTACTATTATCTGCCCGTGTTTCTCTGATAGAAACTGTGGTTTTCGCACTTCTCAGCAGATAACTCTCAGTCACACTTTTACACACGAGGTCCTTTTTAATAGGAAAGTGACATCGATTGTTGAATCTGTTTAAGCAAGCGTTCAATACACTGAAACAATTGACCACAATAGCAGGTGTATTACATTGATGACAATTTGCATTAGAATGTTCAGCTGCGTAGAAGTCAGCGATGTATGAGAGCTCGTTCGAGGGATAATAAGCGTAGATGCCATTCCTCAAGGGTTATCAAGCTTTTCTGGATGTGCGCACACGCAGGAGCGTGGCGCAGTGGAAGCGTGCTGGGCCCATAACCCAGAGGTCGGTGGATCGAAACCACTCGCTGCTAGTTGTTTTGCTGTTGCACGGGGCTCGTGACAGTCATTGCTACTTGAACGCTTGCAATCCTTTTGCTTATGTTGCATGAATTGTGCAGCTCTCTAGTAGATTTAAGTAAAGAACAAATACTGCTTCTATTCCGCAAATTGCGGAATGAAACTTATCAATTGTGATTGTTATTCGGAGTTCATTTCTTTTAAATGTTATGCTACTATTTTCTCTGTAATCACATTTCAACCTAAAGACGTAATCCTTGTGCTCAGTTAGTCATTCCAAGAAGTTGAAATATAGAGTGGTCTTAGCTGCCTTCGATCTGTGAAAATGACTGCGTAAATGTCCTTCGCGGATCCACAACAAAAGTTCAAGAGAACGAAGAGAATGCAAACGTTCCATAATACTCTATGTTCGACATTCAGTGAATCTTGGCATCATTATATATTTCCTTGAATGTCGAGTAGTAACCCAAGATTCGTATAACGGTTTATTAGGCTTGTTCGCTTTCGTCAGAGCCTGGAATGTGAGGAACATATAAGATGTACTCTACCAAATGTTTTCATTGCTTGCAGGAAAAACTCATAAAGTTGAACAAGTGTTGAAGCCTATGAAAGACAACTCACCTTATGATATTGAGGAAACCAACCATGACCATCGTAGGTAGCGTCAGTGAGCAATGAGTTATGCCCTGGAGAGCTCTATATGCGGGGGGTGTAGGTCAAAACCCGCATAAATCCAGAAACGGCGCGAGTTCTTTTGCAACGGCAACGCATTCCTCTTTCTACATTATTGGAATCCTTGCGGAAATCCACTAGGTTTCTAGGGGTGCGCGCCGCCTCAGCTTCTCGCGATATAATTGAAACCAATATTTCAAATTCATTGTTTTGATGTCAGCGTGCGATGAGTGCCTAAGAGCGTAAACATACTTGCTTTCCGCAATGGCGGCCTTCCGTTTCAACAATATATTTATATCCGCATAACTTATATGTTAAAAGATATAAGACTCTAGAACTCATGCAGTCCCCTGGCTTATTTAAGAAGCAGATCATAGAGTCCGTTTTTCAAACTTGGACATATGCCCGACTGCGCAATAGACTTTGACTGAGGTTTGCAGGAGGAATCTCTACAACTCTAATATAGTGCTGAAGAACTGGTTTGTCACATATCCTCATCTCGCTGCTTAATTCGTCTGAAATGAACAAATAGAATGGCACCTTGTTGTCGCTATCAGTATTACTAGGCAGCTTGTTTGTACGCCTTTTCCACTCTTTATAAGTATTAACACTGTCATGTTGAGGGCCTCTTGAGATGATTTCTGCTTCATGCCGTTAAAAGATACCGCTTTAGCTGTGTGAAGCACATTCCCAATAATGCAACGCTCTATACGTATAGTGTGGGCGGAAGAGGAGTGCACCATGATTTTCTTTTTGCTAGGTTTCTTACCACCTAGTTTACGGTCCCCCTTCCCCCTTACTTAGGTATTACTGAACGTTAAGAAGTGAGAGCCAATTGTCCCTTGGCTTTTTCTAGTAAGCTTGATATCAGCTAGTTGCCTATTGAATAGATCAAAACGAGTATCCGCTTCTGCTTGCATGGGAGGGCAGTCTTCAACCGGAGATATAAAGTTGGTTTGCGATTATGAACTGGATTTACGGCATGAAGGTGGTACATGCCTCATGACTAGTCGCCTGATTTGCTTAGAATACTGCCCTAAATTTGAATATTGAACATGTCCAGACATTCTTTCAACAACGTCGTAACCTGCTGGATGCGCAAATGGCTAAGGAAGGCATTTGTATTAGGTGAATGTGCAGGGACTTATTGCAGAAGCTGAGTGAGGATTTAGTAGCCCGACGTTACTTATGATGGGTCGAACCTTTGAGTTTGAAAGGGGTCAGTAGACGTTAGCTTCTCAGATGGCAGTTTATGTGTCTAACACATGTAGAACAGGGCATGTTGGAAGGTGGCATCAAAGGCGTTTATGATTTGCTTAGATAGACCTGCAACTTGCGCTGTGTCAACCCATAGCCTATTTAGTTTGCGGTATTCCCTCTTGAATTCTCTCTCAGAATATTTACTGCACATGTATTATCTTCGAGATGATTGAGTCAGCGCAATATTTAGTTGTCTGGGCATAACTAAGAACTCGCCGCCTTTATCGCTGACTGCTATACTAATAGAACCCGATGGTGTAAGTTCCCGAATCTTTTCAGACTTCTACTTTGCGCAAATGTTAAAATTGATGCAATTCTCTTAGTACCGTTTGAGCACAGTGTAAACAGAGGCAACATAGATTCGAACTGCCGATTCTATCGAAGACACTATTTCTTACGGTTTAGAAAAACCAAGACGGAAAAGATACTGCAGGTAATGCCGCTGACGCCACAGTCATTGATTTTTGATTCGTTTGCGCGTCTCCGATTTTCCATATCGCAGCTGATCAAGAACGTACTGCAAATTACCCACCATTTTGCATGTGACCCAGCGGCATATCGATTGCGTAGGCGAAAAACTTGGTTCCGGAGAAAGCACGGTAACTGTAACTCGCGATGAAATGAGCTCACTTTCCTAACGTCTTCAAACTTTTGGTGTCTGGCTCGCAATAGGTGGCTGTGAGTAATGTTGTTGGCATCCTGGACTGACTTAATGAACTTCTCCTGCAACATTTACTTAACATTAGAGCGGATAACATAAATGCTCTTGAATTCAATTACTATTCCCTTCCAAAGGTTACTAGGCAGAAAGAGACACATTTCTTCACCAACTCAAATATGTGGTCTTCCTTGCTCTTTATGCTGTTCTTAAAAGTTGCAATTCAATATGATGTATCTGCCAGCTTTTTGGAAGTCCACATAACTGGTACAAAAGCTTCTTGATGAAGTTAGGCATCAGTTGGTGGTCCAGACAGCGACGGAGGAAGTGAGTCGCTTCTCTTGTACGATCTTCTGTCGAATAGACAGCACTTCACACACGGGTCAATAGTACATGGCAAGGGCACGTTCCATGATACCCCATGTTCGACTTTCAATGAATCTTTTCATCGCTATATATTTCTTTGAGCGTTGAGCCGTAACCCAAGGTTGGTATAGCGCTATATCAGTCTTACATTTCAGCTATTCGCCTTCGTCAGAGCCTGGAAAGTGAGGAATAAATGAGATATACCCTTATAACCATTTTCATCGCTTACACTCATTAAGTTGAACTAGTGTTGACTTAGAAGGCTATGTAGTACTAGCTTGTTCCAAGAGAAATGTATCCATTGAAAGGTTCCTTCTAGGATTTGTGGAATTGGAATACTTGAGCAGCGTGGGAAGCGTAGTGGGCCCATAACCCGGAAGTCGTTGGATCAAACCACTCGCTGCTAACAGTTTGCAGATGCTGCACACTCACCATTCAAATTTCAATAAACTACGCATGCCGTTGAGTACCCGTTGTTTAGCAAATTTAACTTCTTAGTTAACTTCAAAGAGTCACGGAAATTGTGAAAAGACTGTAATGGAAAACGAGGAAAGAATGGCGACAAGGGACGGCAGTTGAAGGAAGGGAGAACTCAATGCTCACATAACTCTAAAAAAATACTTCGTACTTTGTTATTGTCCTTGATTATGAATTATGATAAAGGTCATTTGTTTTGATGTAATATGCACGATAATGACAATCGGGAAAGTGCCACATGAAAGTCCTCTGTGCTTAGGTTAAGCCCCTATGATTTGTTAGGGTTCTGAAGGAACTCGTGGTGCGAAAATCTCAACACGATACCCAGCT